GTCTTTCTGTGTGGAACAGACTTCAATCAGGTTTTTTCTAAGACACAGGTATAACTGTGAAATGGAATTCAAATAAAAGTATATGAAGATTACACTTGGATACTTAATGCTTTTTATGGATTTATCTCTAAAGTCTTATAATTAACATTTCAACTATTTTCTTTCTATATGTGAATAGCTTTTACTTTTTTATTTGATTTTGGGTATGGAGGGCATTGAGGTTCGTTCATGTTATACATTCATTATGGATTGTACCTTTTAGTAACAAAACGATCTTTGTCCTCGTTAATCCTTTTTCCCTCTTAAAGCATAGTTTGGCTAATATTAATGTCAGTAGCTCAACGTCCTTTCGGCTTGTGTTGGCTCATTCTCAGACTTTCTGAAGTAGTTGACTTAAAGGGTTCTTACCCTGTATGTCAACATCTTCTTTTTTAAAGCTTCTAGTACATGAGAAAAAATTAAGAGTACAGTCCTACACCTGGAAAAAATAGTCAACAATGAATGCCTCCATTTCCCAATCACTGTCAAAGAACAAAACTTTTTGAGTGTAAAATTAATACATGCCTGGTGGGAGACAATTCTCTACGGGTCTCCTGTTTTTCTGCACATTTTGTGACCAGGGACATTCATTGCTTTTATCCTATACCATCTCTTCAAGGATGTTTGTATAGTGGATGTCCTTGGAAGATAGAATGGTGTGTCTTTCCACAGCAATGGGTAGGTTTTTCACTGTCTAGTATAATAAATGTCTCCTCCTGGGGCAAAGGTCAGGTAAGCTTATGCCCAATTACAAAAGATTTTATTTCCTAAGCTTGGGAATTCTCTCCTCTAACATACTTACTGTATGTGCTGGAGCCACCTGGCCTTATTCAAGTTGTTCTGTGGGAACTGGGACTTAGGAACTAGTGTAAATGCTGGTACTCTGGTGCCTGCTATTGCTGTGAGTAATGAAGCCCTTTGTTGCTGACCCAAGAGCCTCAAGTCTTCTGCCACCATCCATAAAACAGGGGGATTAGCTTGTTAACTTTCACGTACGTTTCAGACTCTTCACGGTTCCTGACATTGCTTACTGAGGAAGTTTTTTGGAAAACACAGAAAGTTATCAAGAAGAAAAATATCTAAACCCCTGCATTCTGAATATTTTTGTGTCCTCTCCTTTCACTCACACTTAAATTACAAAGGTACTCTGACAACAGTAAGAACTAAGCCTGTTGGCTGGCCAAAACACATATGCAACCGCCAGGCTGTCTTGCACTTACCACATTATAAATGATACTTTAAAAACATCACTTAGTGTTTTCTTTAAAAAAGAATTTTACAAAATATATTCAATGCCATCCAGTTCTTTACTTAATTACTGTCTTACTGGCATTGTTTACCGCTAGGTTCTTGTGGTAGGATGAGTTACGGAGCTCACTCGTTCACTCCCCTGTAATACAGTTATGTATCCATGGCCTTTCCATGGCTTCATGGCAGATGGAGTGCCCTTCCGTGACCCTTGCCTGGGGGTCTGGCCACATGAATTGCTTTGGCCAAGGGGGTGTTAGTTTGGCGACCTGAGGAGAGGCTTCCAGTGGGCTTGCCGAGCGGTTTGCCCTCTTGCACTCGGTGCCCCCCCAGAACGCGCTCTGGATCCCTGCTTCCCCTCCAGTCTGAGACTCAAGAGAGCACACGAACAGCAGATGCGAGCCTAACCACAGCCAAGTGCCAGGCCCAGATGACCTGCGGTCTGCAGCTCAGTTGAGCTGGGGTCGGAGGGTCTGCTGCGCACTGTCACTGTGATAGTTCATCACCTGAACAGGGTTTTTTCCTTTTGAAACTTAGGTCTTGGCCTCTGAGACTACACCTTCTTTTTGTTTCTTGTCTCCTTGTACCTGTCTTTACAGATCACAGGGTACGTTATTGTCTTCATGGGTTTTCTTCTTGGATTTTTTTCCTTTTTCGCTCTTTCCCCATTGGCAATGACCTTCCTTCTCATAGCCATGTGCTTATGACTTCTGAATCATGAAGCCAGACCCACCCCTGAGCCACAGGCCCAAACATCTGACTCTTGGGCCCTGCCACCTGGATGTCCTATCATACAATATGTGACCTTTTCTCTCTTTTTTCACTGAGCAAAATGCCTTTGAGGCTCACCCATGTTGTGACATATATTAGGACTTAGTTCCTTTTTATGGTTGAATAATACTCCCTTATATATATAAACTGTAATTTGTTTATGCTCTCATCCATTGATGGACTCCATAGTCTTAATGAAACCTTTTCTGCTAAAATTAAGCACAATTGGTTTGTATTATTTCCGAATGAAATACACTGTAACATAGTCAATTATCAGGAAAGGACTCTCACCCAGAATCAGGAATCAGTAAGGATTTTCTCCACCCCAAACCTTCTTCTTTCTATGTGTTTGTTTCTCCCGCCCCTCTCTGCTCCTCAGTCCATGGCATAGCATTGGGCAGACAGAATAGGGCTGGATTGACACATTCCAGCCAGGACATATAGTGATATGCGTCAGCTCTCCCTTAATCCTAGTTCTGAATGCCTTGATGAAGGCAGCTATGATGAAGGGGAGGGGATGTGGTAAAAGATGGTTTCCAGTTTCCCCACTGTCACTACTATGTGGTTTTGAGGGTTCCATTCAGAAAGTAAGGTAAACAGTATGAGATGGACAGACATTCCAAAAGGTATCTGTCCTTAGGGCCTGGGGTTGGTAAATCACAGCATGCTGGGTTCTCCTGGGGAGAACTTCCCTTGGAATCAGGCTATCCTTTATCCAGACATGTTCCCAGATTAAGCTCAACAATGGAATGTGCGCTCAGTATTCTCATCTGAGATCAGGGAGAATGGGAGGTCAGGCCTCCCTAACCTTCTTGGAAGATAACCAGGCATAAAAAAGCACAGGTTATAGAGAAAACACAGGAATAGCCCCTGGTCTGAACAACGGAAGTGAGGAGAATGAGTATTTAATAACTGAATTTCCCTTTCTATGAGACTTCATGGGTTTTCTTCTTGGATTTTTTTCCTTTTTCGCTCTTTCCCCATTGGCAATGACCTTCCTTCTCATAGCCATGTGCTTATGACTTCTGAATCATGAAGCCAGACCCACCCCTGAGCCACAGGCCCAAACATCTGACTCTTGGGCCCTGCCACCTGGATGTCCTATCATACAATATGTGACCTTTTCTCTCTTTTTTCACTGAGCAAAATGCCTTTGAGGCTCACCCATGTTGTGACATATATTAGGACTTAGTTCCTTTTTATGGTTGAATAATACTCCCTTATATATATAAACTGTAATTTGTTTATGCTCTCATCCATTGATGGACTCCATAGTCTTAATGAAACCTTTTCTGCTAAAATTAAGCACAATTGGTTTGTATTATTTCCGAATGAAATACACTGTAACATAGTCAATTATCAGGAAAGGACTCTCACCCAGAATCAGGAATCAGTAAGGATTTTCTCCACCCCAAACCTTCTTCTTTCTATGTGTTTGTTTCTCCCGCCCCTCTCTGCTCCTCAGTCCATGGCATAGCATTGGGCAGACAGAATAGGGCTGGATTGACACATTCCAGCCAGGACATATAGTGATATGCGTCAGCTCTCCCTTAATCCTAGTTCTGAATGCCTTGATGAAGGCAGCTATGATGAAGGGGAGGGGATGTGGTAAAAGATGGTTTCCAGTTTCCCCACTGTCACTACTATGTGGTTTTGAGGGTTCCATTCAGAAAGTAAGGTAAACAGTATGAGATGGACAGACATTCCAAAAGGTATCTGTCCTTAGGGCCTGGGGTTGGTAAATCACAGCATGCTGGGTTCTCCTGGGGAGAACTTCCCTTGGAATCAGGCTATCCTTTATCCAGACATGTTCCCAGATTAAGCTCAACAATGGAATGTGCGCTCAGTATTCTCATCTGAGATCAGGGAGAATGGGAGGTCAGGCCTCCCTAACCTTCTTGGAAGATAACCAGGCATAAAAAAGCACAGGTTATAGAGAAAACACAGGAATAGCCCCTGGTCTGAACAACGGAAGTGAGGAGAATGAGTATTTAATAACTGAATTTCCCTTTCTATGAGCACAACCCCAGATCACCAGGTCCCAGGTTTGAGATCCCTGGGGATTTTTGTCTGGGATTTGTCTCCGTCGAGGCGACATTGTTTCTAGTATCTTTAAGTTTTGACTGAAGAGTTACATCTAAACCTTAGATAATTTCTTTGTCATTGTTTGATCTAAAGGGGCCAAAAAGCAGGCAAGACAATTATTCTTTTCTTGTCTCTAATGAGGCCCTCACGGAATGTTGCCCCAGTGGTTGTTAAACTCCTGTCAATGCCTCTCTGTGACTGCCCAGAACATCTTTCCTACACAGAGGACTAAGCCCTCGAACCCCTGCTCCTCACTCACTCAGTACCTGCCGACATTCCTAAGATACTGCAATTTCTACAGTGAAGACAAGCATTGATGAGTTATGCAGAGGTGACAGCAATAGTGCCGACCACCCCGGGGTAAGAGTACAGCAGTGGAGACATTAATATCTATGACGATGTGAAATTCTTTTAGGAACTTCTTCTGTGACATCTTCCAGACACAGGAGGTTAATGGTAGGCGTTTTGAATCTATTGCTTGAGATGAACCCAGCAATAATCAACCATAGCCCTTGTCTCTTTATGAGCTCTGTACAAGCTGGGAGGGTAGGGGAGAGAACTAGACCCTGTAGGCAGAGACACACATAGTCATAGAGTCAAGCTGGGTAGATACCTGTCTGTTTCTCAGTAATGTGTGTTTACCAGCACAAAAAAAATCAGCGCATCAAGTAGGAAAAACATCAGAACTTAGTGCTGGAAATTGAGAGTGCAGGTGGGCTGGGCATAGCCTGTCTTAGCAACTCTTTGAACCGATTGGCAAATGTGCCCTGTCTGGAGCCTGACTTCTCACATCTTAGCCATCCTCACCTGGCTTCCCAACGTCACTGTCATCTGTTCCTCGGGGTCCGGCCCCAACCATGAGAGGGGCGAACCGGTCGGGCGTCTCCGAGTTCCTCCTCCTGGGGCTCTCCAGGCAGCCCCAGCAGCAGCAGCTGCTCTTCGCGCTCTTCCTGACCATGTACCTGGCCACGGTCCTGGGAAACCTGCTCATCCTCCTGGCCGTCGGCGCGGACTCCCGCCTGCACACCCCCATGTACTTCTTCCTCAGCACCCTGTCCTTCGTGGACGTCTGCTTCTCTTCCACCACCATCCCCAAGATGCTGGCCAACCACGTACTCGGGAGTCAGAGCATCTCCTTCTCCGCATGCCTCACGCAGATGTATTTTGTTTTCATGTTCGTGGACATGGACAATTTCCTCCTGGCTGTGATGGCCTATGACCGCTTTGTGGCCATATGCCGCCCCTTACACTACACAACGAAGATGACCCCCCAGCGCTGTGTCCTGCTGGTCGCTGTGCCGTGGGTCATTGCCAACCTGAATGTCCTGTTGCACACCCTGCTGATGGCTCGACTCTCGTTCTGTGCAGACAATGCCATCCCCCACTTCTTCTGTGATGTGACTCCCCTCCTGACACTCTCCTGCTCTGACACACGCCTCAACGAGGTGATGATTCTGACTGAGGGGGCCCTGATCATGATCACCCCATTTGTTTGCATCCTGACTTCGTATATGCACATCGCCAGTGCCGTCCTGAGAGTCCCATCCCCAAAGGGAAGATGGAAAGCCTTCTCCACCTGTGGCTCCCACCTGGCCGTGGTTTCCCTCTTTTACGGCACCATCATCGCTGTGTATTTCAACCCTTTGTCCTCACACTCGTCTGCAAAGGACGCTGCAGCTACTGTGATGTACACGGTGGTGACCCCCATGCTGAACCCCTTCATCTACAGCCTGAGGAACAGGGACTTGAAACGGTCGCTGCTAAAAATGGTTGGCAGGAACACACACTCTTCCTGATGAGAGTATGAGGGGCTTATCCTTCCAGGCATATTCATCTTTGCCAACTCATTTAAGTGTAGCAATCTACTTATCAAAGTAACTGCAAACAACTTACAATAAAACTCTCAATAGATACTTAACAGTGGACTCCGACTTAAGTACAGCCATGCTCCTTTAAACAGGCAATTATATTTGCTTCTACATACTGTATTTCAAACTATGTTGCACAAAGGCCAAGTTTTACCTTTCTATGTGATCACTGGGAAAAGTGTTAGTAACAAATATTACCGCACTTCCTTTCTGGAAGTGCTCTCCGAGTCTCTGGGAGCGGTTTCCCACCTTGGGTGCACGCTGGACTACTCATGGGGCTCTGACAGGTACAGACTGATGTTGGACATGGCAATTAAATCAGAATCTATTGGCTGTGACCCAAGCATTGTCATTTTCCCCCTTTAACTTCCCCAGAGGGTTGTAATGTAACTTTCTGAGTTGACAGTCGCACTGTTTTGGATGTCTTTGACGATTGCTCATCATGCAGAGAGAGCCTAGAGACCCTCAGAGGAAATCTGATGTCCTTCTTTGTTAATAACAACTGAAGTGAGAAACCGTCACCGGGAGGATCCTGTGGGCTCACGCGCTCTTGCGCAGAGAGGGCTGGTTGTTTTACCATAATTCACATTCCTGAGGCTCACACAGAATCCAAAGAATGCTTCATAATTTTAGTGCCTGTCACTCCATTCAGGCCGCAACACCAAAAATTCCAAAGACCACTGGCTGAAACACCAAACATTTGCTTCTCCCAGTTATGGAGGCTGGAAGCCCCTGAGCAAGGCTCCAGCAGGGTCAGCAGCTCATGGGGGCCTGTTCCTGCTTTACAGTTGGCTCTTCTCACCGTGTCCGCCATGATGACAGTAGGGAGGGAGCTCTGAGGCGTCTCTTCAACGAGGGCACTAATCCCATTCATGAGGGCTCATGATGTAGTCACCTTCCGTTCTTCTTGGGTCTTCCACCATGAGCATATAAAGCCTTTGAAGTCAGGAATGTATCATTATCCACATTTCATACACTCAGTGTTATGCCTTGGTCTGGTTCATGTAAAGCACGTTTCATAAATAATGAGTAAATAGCAGAAGCCGATGCCTTGAGGAATAATGACTCATTCCTGTCCCCCCAGTGCTACTAGGCTGTATCCCCATGAACGCAGGGACCCAGTTTTATCAACAGTACCTGGGATGGAGTAGTTGCTCAGCAATTATTATTTACCTGAATACGTGATTATGTGAATGAGTCAATACGAGGATGTTACTGGAGAAGAAGATGGAAAAGTTTCCCTATGGAGTTGATGGGCTTGGCTCAGCTGTCTGCCACCTTACAGCAGAGATTTCAAGCCATACGAAGCCTCTTATGCATGTTGTAATGTATTTTTTCTAAAGCATTTAAATAGTTGAAAAATATTGAAAAAATTTGAAGTAGGTATAGTGAAACTCACATTATTTTAACTCCAAAATTTTATTCATACCAAAACCAGAATACTTTATTAGTTTTACTCTCTTAGTGGCAACAATCCCTCTGTGACCAAGCTCTGGGCAGGCTCTTCCCTCTTCTGGAGCAAGCCCACCCTGGGCCTCACAGATCCAGACAGACACTGCCAGGGCACCCTGCCCCCTTGAAGCGCCTGCCTCAGGAGAGTCAAGGCTGCTAAAAGAATGTATTCTTCGCTCCAGGAACACCTGAAAATAGGGCCCATCTCACCTCCGTAGGAGGGTGACTAACTACAGGCACCCATCTGCCCTCTGAGCCCGGGAGCATGCGCAGACGGGTTTCACAAGGAGTAGCCGCTGCCCCCACCACCAGCTTTGTGTGATTTGCCACTTCCCTGACTGCTCACGGTCCCGCTATCTTGCTCCCTTTAAAATGCTCACACCTCTGCAGAAACTGGAATGGTGCTCAGCTCCTTTTACTGTCAGTACCACCCCCACCACCCCCAAGTGGTTTTTAACACTAACTTCCAGCTTTGTTTATCTAGCTGCACCACTAACTTTAAACTATACCCATGAATATTTTCAAAATCTTCGTCTACTACGTTTCAATGGAGAGAATGGCCATATTTGATAAATTCTCTTGACTAAGTGAAGGTCTTAAACTTTGAGCTTAGTGCTCTTGCCTTTATACTTTTTAAAAGATTTCCTGCATCAGCTTTGCTTTTTAAAGAACATTGCGTTGAGACTCACCGACTCCAAGAACGGACTAGTGGTTACCAAGGGGGAGGAGGGAGGGAAGGTGGGTGGGCAGGAAGGGAGAAGCGGACTGAGGGGTATTATGATTGCTACAGAAGGTGTGTGCGGCGTCACTGAGAAAACAGCGTAGCACAGAGAAGACAAGTAGTGACTCTGTGGCATCTTACTACACTGTTGGACAGTGACCTCAATGGGGTATGGGGGGTGAAAGGAAGGAGCGACACACAGCAGCAATTCACCGGAGAATTCTGCTTTATTAGGGAAAGGTGCTGGGTTATATAGGAAGGGGCATAGGGTGATTGTGGTGTTACTTCTACGGGGCTGGTGGCTATTGGCTAGGTGCTGGGATTGGGAGGGGGGCGAGAGGTGATTGGGCTTCAGGTGGCGCCAGCGGGAACCAAGGACCCAGAAAAGAAGCAGGAAGTTTGCCATCTTATGGGTGGGGGTCCTTCAGGGGGGACTTGATCTCAATAGATACTTAACAGTGGACTCCGACTTAAGTACAGCCATGCTCCTTTAAACAGGCAATTATATTTGCTTCTACATACTGTATTTCAAACTATGTTGCACAAAGGCCAAGTTTTACCTTTCTATGTGATCACTGGGAAAAGTGTTAGTAACAAATATTACCGCACTTCCTTTCTGAAAGTGCTCTCCGAGTCTCTGGGAGCGGTTTCCCACCTTGGGTGCACGCTGGACTACTCATGGGGCTCTGACAGGTACAGACTGATGTTGGACATGGCAATTAAATCAGAATCTATTGGCTGTGACCCAAGCATTGTCATTTTCCCCCTTTAACTTCCCCAGAGGGTTGTAATGTAACTTTCTGAGTTGACAGTCGCACTGTTTTGGATGTCTTTGACGATTGCTCATCATGCAGAGAGAGCCTAGAGACCCTCAGAGGAAATCTGATGTCCTTCTTTGTTAATAACAACTGAAGTGAGAAACCGTCACCGGGAGGATCCTGTGGGCTCACGCGCTCTTGCGCAGAGAGGGCTGGTTGTTTTACCATAATTCACATTCCTGAGGCTCACACAGAATCCAAAGAATGCTTCATAATTTTAGTGCCTGTCACTCCATTCAGGCCGCAACACCAAAAATTCCAAAGACCACTGGCTGAAACACCAAACATTTGCTTCTCCCAGTTATGGAGGCTGGAAGCCCCTGAGCAAGGCTCCAGCAGGGTCAGCAGCTCATGGGGGCCTGTTCCTGCTTTACAGTTGGCTCTTCTCACCGTGTCCGCCATGATGACAGTAGGGAGGGAGCTCTGAGGCGTCTCTTCAACGAGGGCACTAATCCCATTCATGAGGGCTCATGATGTAGTCACCTTCCGTTCTTCTTGGGTCTTCCACCATGAGCATATAAAGCCTTTGAAGTCAGGAATGTATCATTATCCACATTTCATACACTCAGTGTTATGCCTTGGTCTGGTTCATGTAAAGCACGTTTCATAAATAATGAGTAAATAGCAGAAGCCGATGCCTTGAGGAATAATGACTCATTCCTGTCCCCCCAGTGCTACTAGGCTGTATCCCCATGAACGCAGGGACCCAGTTTTATCAACAGTACCTGGGATGGAGTAGTTGCTCAGCAATTATTATTTACCTGAATACGTGATTATGTGAATGAGTCAATACGAGGATGTTACTGGAGAAGAAGATGGAAAAGTTTCCCTATGGAGTTGATGGGCTTGGCTCAGCTGTCTGCCACCTTACAGCAGAGATTTCAAGCCATACGAAGCCTCTTATGCATGTTGTAATGTATTTTTTCTAAAGCATTTAAATAGTTGAAAAATATTGAAAAAATTTGAAGTAGGTATAGTGAAACTCACATTATTTTAACTCCAAAATTTTATTCATACCAAAACCAGAATACTTTATTAGTTTTACTCTCTTAGTGGCAACAATCCCTCTGTGACCAAGCTCTGGGCAGGCTCTTCCCTCTTCTGGAGCAAGCCCACCCTGGGCCTCACAGATCCAGACAGACACTGCCAGGGCACCCTGCCCCCTTGAAGCGCCTGCCTCAGGAGAGTCAAGGCTGCTAAAAGAATGTATTCTTCGCTCCAGGAACACCTGAAAATAGGGCCCATCTCACCTCCGTAGGAGGGTGACTAACTACAGGCACCCATCTGCCCTCTGAGCCCGGGAGCATGCGCAGACGGGTTTCACAAGGAGTAGCCGCTGCCCCCACCACCAGCTTTGTGTGATTTGCCACTTCCCTGACTGCTCACGGTCCCGCTATCTTGCTCCCTTTAAAATGCTCACAGCTCTGCAGAAACTGGAATGGTGCTCAGCTCCTTTTACTGTCAGTACCACCCCCACCACCCCCAAGTGGTTTTTAACACTAACTTCCAGCTTTGTTTATCTAGCTGCACCACTAACTTTAAACTATACCCATGAATATTTTCAAAATCTTCGTCTACTACGTTTCAATGGAGAGAATGGCCATATTTGATAAATTCTCTTGACTAAGTGAAGGTCTTAAACTTTGAGCTTAGTGCTCTTGCCTTTATACTTTTTAAAAGATTTCCTGCATCAGCTTTGCTTTTTAAAGAACATTGCGTTGAGACTCACCGACTCCAAGAACGGACTAGTGGTTACCAAGGGGGAGGAGGGAGGGAAGGTGGGTGGGCAGGAAGGGAGAAGCGGACTGAGGGGTATTATGATTGCTACAGAAGGTGTGTGCGGCGTCACTGAGAAAACAGCGTAGCACAGAGAAGACAAGTAGTGACTCTGTGGCATCTTACTACACTGTTGGACAGTGACCTCAATGGGGTATGGGGGGTGAAAGGAAGGAGCGACACACAGCAGCAATTCACCGGAGAATTCTGCTTTATTAGGGAAAGGTGCTGGGTTATATAGGAAGGGGCATAGGGTGATTGTGGTGTTACTTCTACGGGGCTGGTGGCTATTGGCTAGGTGCTGGGATTGGGAGGGGGGCGAGAGGTGATTGGGCTTCAGGTGGCGCCAGCGGGAACCAAGGACCCAGAAAAGAAGCAGGAAGTTCGCCATCTTATGGGTGGGGGTCCTTCAGGGGGGACTTGATAATATGGGTGAATGTAGTAACCACAATGTTTTTAATGTAAAACCTTCATAAGAGTGTATATCAATGATACTTTAATAAACAAACAAACTACTTTGAAATATCATTTACCTTGGTTAGTAAGTTTCTGGGGACCCCTTAAGAATTGCACGTGCGCGCCACACCTCCCGCACATGGGAGTTTGCAGGGGGCAGGTGTGCCTCCCAAGGCGGTCCTACCGCGCGCACGCGCAGCGCCAGACTGTCAACCCGGCAGGACCTCTTCCGGAAGCACTGCCTCTCCCTCGCACGGGACCAATGAGAGGCTGAATCGCCGGGCTCTCTTTGCCCCGCCCCCCTGCGGATCGTTCTTTAATTATGCAGTAATGGTGGGCTGTGTGCCCTTGGCCAATTAGATGGGAGGGGCGGGGCCTCAGCGCAGCTCGGTCTCCGTGGGGAAGGGCGGGGCAGTATTTCACTTGAAGCACAGTGAGCTGGAGACTCTAGATGGAGCCAAGGTTCTAGATGGCAGTAAGTGGCTCAAAATCTCTCATTTAAAAATGGCATAAAGAGGAACTCAGGTTTTTGCTCTCCAGACGTGGGCAGCTGGCGGGTACCAGGAGCCTTTCGCACTCGGTCGCGGGCCTTTAGGTCTCCGCTCCATCCGTCTGCCCTTCCCGGTTAGGATGGGTCGCGAGGTATTTAGGATTCCTGCCCTATTTCCATAAGCTGGGTTGGTCGGAGGTTAAGGTCTGACTTATATCTGGATATCCTTTCAAAAGGTGAGGTTGGCGGGGAGGCAGCGGCGTAGAAACGGGTGCGGGTGGCTCGGGCCCTTCCCAGAGTAAGGGCTCCTCCTACCCCAAGGTTAAGCCTGCGCTACTCAGTGGGACATGAGGACCGAGAATTGCCTGCGTGATTGTTAGAAATGGACAGCCTCAGGCCCCACCCGAGATTTCCTGAATCAGAATCTTCACTTTAGCAACTACCGTAGGTGGTTTCTGTGCACCTTCATGTTTGCGAATCGTTGGTTTGAGATTTCTGGTGTGGGAGGGAATGTTGATGTGTTTGCTTGTACAGCTGGTGGCCTGTGCTGCAGACCTAAAGGGGATGTTAAGGTTCGAGCTTTGTGAATCAGACAGGATCTTGATGACATCCCAGGCATCACTTATCGCTTAATAAAGATTATTTAAGGAAAGTGATATTGTGGGAGGTGGATGTAAGTAGAAAACCTGTGTGAGCGTGTCTGGGAATGTGCAGAAGCCCTGGGGAAAGGGAGGCTGTAGGTAAAATCATAGTATTTCCAGAATCTCGCCTGGCTTTGGTCCATCTGCATATCGACAGGTGCTCAAGAGTGGACAGGAGTATGGCTTTAGTGCATTTGCACCATTCCTCAGGGGTGGAGAGAAATTCATCTCCATATCAATGGGGGTAATTACCTGGGCAAGGTGGGCTTATCTATACCTGAGAGGTGAGGGGAGGGCCGATATTGCTTCTGCTGGAGCAGGAAAGAGAGAAGGCCTTGGACTGCAGTTTGTGAGCAATAAATGGATTCTAAACTTTATTTCTCCCTTTGACTGATTTCAGTTTTTAGAGGTATTTTGCCCTGGGATTTCCTTTCCTCAGACTTACAGAAGCTAATGTACACAAACAGGCACTGATCATACTGAGGATGAAAGACTAATAGGATGTGCATTAGGGATTAATGGGGCTACTCATCAACCTGGCAACCCACAAATATTGTTTCTCACCAAGGAGCTCACATTATAGTGAAAGAAAGTGGTAACCAGTTGCTAAGGTGGCCTACAATGATCCTGGCTGGTGTAATCCCTTCCCGCACTGCATTGGGCTGACTCTTTGTCTCAATCCATTCAGGCTGCTATAACAATACTATAGATGGTGTAGCTTACAGAGAATAGAAGTGTGTTTTTTACAGTTCTGGGGACTGAAAGGGTCAAAGATGAGGATGTGAACGTATTTGGTGTCTGGTGAGAGCCCACTCCCGTGTTCATGGATGACAGTCTTTCTAATGTAGCCTCCTGTGGCAAAAGGGACAAGGGAGCTGTCTTGGGTCTCTCATAGGGCTACTAATTCCGTTGGTGAGGTTTCTGCCTTCATGACCCGATCGCCTCCCAAATGTCCCACCTCCTAACACCATTCATTCCCTTTGGGGTTAGGATTTCAACATATGTATTTTGCAGAGACACAGACATTTTGGTCCATAGCCAAATGGTCCATTTTGGTCAGTGTAAGCAATAGGATGTTGTGGAAATGATGGCGTGTGACTTCGGGAGCTCTGTCATAAAAGATACTGTAGCTTCCATCTTGCTGTCTTAATCACTCACTCTGGGGGAAAACAGCTACCCTGCTGCAAGGACTGTCAGGTCAGCTCTATGAAGAAGTCCATGTGAGCACCCGAGCCTTCCTGCCAGTGCAGTACAATCTAGCCGTCTTGGAGGCCATCCTCTAGCCATTGTCTAGTCATTAAGATGACAGCCCCTGCTGACAACTGCAGTCTGGCGAGAAGCCCTGATCCAGAACCATTCAACTAAACCCTTTCCAGATTCCTGGCCCATAGGAATGCTGTGAGATAAGTGGTTAGTGTTTAAAGTTGGTAAGTTTGTGATAATATTGTACTTGACAATACATAACTAACACAAAGGATGAGGCTGGTGTCTGTGAGGCATGAGTTTTGGTGGTATTTACTTGTACACCATCAGCCAGAGCAGTGGATCTTATGGAATAGAGAAGTGGACTTCTAAAGACTCAGGGCTGGCACCATTTGAGGTTGCCCTGTGAGGTTAGTGTGCTGTTTCACAGGATACAGTATGAGTTTCATACCACTAGACAACGTAGGCTGAACTTTCTCCCAGCCGGTAATTGATAGGGTAAAGAAACAAGAGGTAGAAGGGAGCGCCTCCTTTTGTGATACCTAATGATCTGCTTGGAAAATTTTGCTTCTTATCCCAGCAATAGTGAGCTCTGAAGAGACTTACTGCTGGCCAATTTGGACTCCATTTGCTACTGGATAAACCGACCAAAAAGGAGATTATAATATTGTTAATGACTTTGGCTGTCTATAGAAAATTGTTCTTCTGCTCCACAATGATAGCAGAGAGGATTGTGGATGGAAAGATCTCTCTGAGACGATTCTAAAATTGCCAGTTCGTGATGGCAGTTAATAAAAGACTAGGGAAGATCATAAGGAGGTCAGATCACATAGACATGAAAGTTTGGTTTAGATTCTAAAAAGCTTGAGGTGCTGAGATGCTGGCTAAAGACAAAGGAAACATGAATTTGACTTCGGATAAGGACAATTATTACTATCAACTAATAGGTCATATCTGTCTGTGGAAGTGAAGACTACATCTTTCAGTTATATTTTCTTCCTTTCTTCCTTTTTTTGTCATTTTAAACAATTAAGGTATAATTGATATACAATCTTATGGAGGTTTCACATGAGCAAGATTGTGGTTTCAACATTCAGGCATATTATCAAGTCTTCACCCCGCCTCACCATCACACGATCAGTGTAGTAAGATGCTAGAGAGTCATTATTTGTCTTCCCATGCTATACTGCCTTCCCGGACCTACCTATATTGTGAATGCTGATTATAATGTCTTTAATCCTCTTCTCCCTCCCTTCCCACCCACCCTTCCATATCCCTTATCTTTGGTAACCACTATTCCCTTCTTGGAGTCTGTGAGTCTGGTGCTGTTTTGTTCCTTCAGTTTTGATTTGTTGTTATACTCCACTGACGCGGTCCGGCAGCGCCGAGTTGAGCAGGTCCTGAAGTGCAGAAGGGGGGCAAAGAAAACAAAGAAAGACAGAAAGAACTGGGAGGGCTGACGCTCCTGCATGTTGCCAGCAAAGCTTTATTAGAGTCCAGAGTATTTATACAGCAACGAAGGCACACTATTCCAGGAAATAGCATTATCCAATAGACAATCAAGCACAGTATTGGCGTCAGTGGTAGCCGGGCAAAGGTAGGCACAGCAGGGCTCCTTCAGTTGCTCATGGAATGCGTAAACAGGATGTTCTTTGTTCTCCATTCCTGCCACATCAGCAAGTGGGGGAAGGGGCATCAGCCCGCTCCCCACATCTCCCCCTTTTTTATTTTATAAGAGGGTGACAGTGCCTGTCTTAGGTGTTCCTGGACGACTCATCTGGACTTACCCATCATTGGTACCCACGTTCCATCATGAGGGCCCTGTCTTAGGTTGCCAGAGGTCTCCAAGACACTTACCTGTCGTTGACTATCCTGTCCCACATCCATATAAGGAAGGTGGTGTTTAAGAGGTAGCATATGGGTCTTGGAACCCAGTTGCAAAAAGGACCGTAATCCTAGTTTGATGACACAAGGTATCAATAATATCATTACAAGAAGACATAGCAGAGCAGTCGCAATGGATAACAGAAAATGGGGCAAGTCTCCCAACTTGCCGAAAGGAGAGGCTGCGTGCTTGAGGGTGTCTAGGATATCTTGAGCGGTTTTAACAGGATCAAACCACAGTTCTGCATTTTGCATATCAAGTATCTCCTTATGTAGGTCTAGAAAATCTTGGTGAAATTATCAGTAAGCCATATGCCCTGTAGGTGATTCTTCACCGTTTCCCAACTATACTTAGATTGATTATACTCTTTAGATGTGACACAAATTTCATTATAAGCTGCATGACATTTCAATTGGTGCCTTAACTTTAGGCCCTGAACCTCTTCGCCCAAATACATGACCATGTCATACAGGGCATTAAGCTTATGACTTATTTTCTCAATCAATATTTCCTTGATCATTAAGAGCCTGAGTTGCATTGCAGTTTGTACATTCTCAGTTAATGCTACAGTAGAAGATACAATAAAGGAAATTAAAGATAACAACCCTACAATAATGAGGCCCACAGCTCTCTTGGGACAGTCTAGAGCTTTCTTCAATTCTATCAACACTCACAGGCCCTTATCATCATACCAAGGTCCCGTGTAGTTCACGGGAATCAAAAGGAACGGGGGTTGCTTAAGTAAAAGAACCATGGTATTGTTGGACACAGAAGAGATGCAGCTAGTGAGACTTCAATTTTTACAGGCAATGTGAAACATTTTTCTGGTAAGTCATATTAATAGAAATAGACCCTACCAACAGCGCATGGGGGGGGGCAACTCAAGCCGCCACATGTGTGTCATTGTTTACATTAATGCTTGTATTATTATCCCAGTCTAACCCTCCCTTAGCCACCCCTATTTTCCACCAAGAGGTTTGAGGGTACCCATCTGGAGTGTACCAAAGTCCCATAGAGAGTCCTCTATTGCAGGGCCAGTGTCTTTGAATTTGGTCCTAAAGACCAGTCCACAATGTAAAGTTCTTTAGTGATGTTCATCTGCTGTGGCCATTCACCACCTGCGCCCGCAAGTGAAAGGGAGCCCTTGCACTTTGTCCAGGGTAGTGGCAAGGTGTCATTTTTAAGTGAAGATGAAGATGTAAGCACACTGCACACAGGGTGGTCAGAAGGCAAGGTGCCGTTGCTCCTATTGCTTG